ATCATTAAACATCTCTTGTTGATTTTTTTTTTAACCATAACCACCACTTGCCTAACCTTCAACAATTCTTGACCCTCCAAAGTTATAAATATCCATCACACACGATGAAGATCTTGAAAAGGACGTGATAGGCTGCGAACCCGACGATGGCATGAATCATATCCTGCGTCATGCCCCGGCTGAAGACATCTTACTCAAACGGAGGTGTGTTCACAGAAGCCTACCTCTGAAAACACACGTTCACAGTTGTGAGTGCAAACGTCAACGTTTGAATACAAAAGTGCCACACATTAAAAAAAAAAAAAAAGTCAAAGGTGGTGATTCGACGCCAACGACGGCTTCAATAATCTGAAGCGCAATCCTCAAACTTGTCGAGCATCACCGTGCTGCAGATTACGACCGCCTTGATCCATCCAGCGCAAGTCAAGATAATCATATGAGCTGTGTTCCAAAGAGGCTTAGTCGCTCATTATCAGGATAAGGCTTACATTAAAGTGGCTCGCTTCCATTAAATGAGAATTAGGTTCAAGCGACAGTCGCAGGGATCGACGACAACACAACCCGCTGGCAATATTATTATGAGACTGTTGCCAAAGCAAAGCTTCTGCGATGACCACAATAAAACACATACAGTCAGTCAATGACTGTTTATCCAGTAAGTGAAAATCCACAACACAGGCACACATTTTTATAGATTTAAACCAAATAGAACTCACTTTTTTCCCCCTCAAAGTGCTGCCCTGACCTGCACACTTTTAAACTTATGAAAACACATTTCTTGAACACACTGTCAACATATTTGAACGCACGCGTGCAAAATTGCAAGCAGTAAATGCAAAGCCATTACTGGAGATATTGTACAGGTGGACTAGAGTCTGTATGTTAGACACAGGATGTGCTTTTGAGAGGCGGGGCCTCCTGGGGAGTAACATCAGCGAGTCTACGTGCGGTTGTGGGCGTGAGCTGTGGCTGAGAGCAGCGTGTGTGATCAATTTGTTTGTGTTTTACGATTCAATAAATGAGTAACTCTGGCTCACCTTTGCTACATTTTTTTTAAGCCGACACAGATTCCGATGTTGGCAGAGTAAAATTTCAACAACCGATTAATTGTCCTATTATTAAAAAATATATATTTAATAAATAAAAAAATAAAAAAACTACACGAGCAAGAAACACTGACAAAACCAAAACACATCTCCAACGGTATCAGTTGAAATCTTGCATTGCATCTCATTCGATTGTGCAAGTGCGTTTAATGTTTGGGTTGGAAAGTGTTGCGCAAGTCCTTTCTGTGACTCAATTTGACATCACACTCCACGCATGGAAGCACCTGTGATGCAAGAGCAAGAAAGTTTCCCGCAGGTGTTGTCAGGAGCACTTCTACCTTTTTTCATTCAAGGTCAATCATGTCTGAAGTGTTAGCTTACAAATCTGACTTCTCAATGAACTCCTACTTCTTCATGTTGAACTTGACTTCCACACATCATGCCATATGTGTGCCTCTTTTTCTGCCTTTAGGCAAAACAATTACAAAAGCTCTCAGTAGAGTGCAGAACTTTACTAGGGTAGAAATGTTAATTAAAAAGGAAAAGGTTTAACAGGAGAACGTGTTGGTTTGGCTCAGTGAGTTTCTGCAATCTGCAGCCTATGCAATGACAAGAACAAGGCAGCAGATGGTGAAGCTACAAATAAACATGAATCCGTCCATTGATTTGCTATGCTGCTTATTTTGTTCAGAGTGCATGAAGACAAACAACCATTCACACTATTATTCACACCACCAATGAGGCAGAACTGAAATATATCACCAGAGTACAGAGGAAGAAGTCAGATGACTCGACCGTATCATTTTTCAGGATGGGGACACCATGCATCCAAGTAAACAAGAATGAATACATCTGATGTTTGTCATATGACAAAGGAGATTATAAAGATTATTACTGAAAACATGTGCAAAGACAATGAACTAAACACTAAGTTGCCCCACCCCCCTGGGTACAAACTTGAGAGGCTTTGGTCAGGTACAAATGCAATGTGCAGTTAGTTGGCTAACTACAGCAATGCGCATGTCACGCGAGAAAGGCAAAAACAGCGAAGGGCGGTGAGTGTGCGGGGGTTGTCATATAACAACATAATAATAATTAAAAACATTTACATCTGGCATGTGGACAAGGGCTTTACGCTGCTGCGGCCAATTTAGAGTGCCTCATTGTCGCGTGACGGCCCAGTGGGATATATTCCAGACACCCGAAGCTTTGGGCGGATATATTTTCACAGCACAACCATGTACGCATAAGAAAAATACTCAAGGCGGTGGTCTCCATTTTTCATTGTCGTAGTATTAGATTGGCAATTGAAAGTTGAGTGCGGCATAGTTTCAGCGCATTCAGCAAACACGAGAATAGAGTTTGATTTTTCTTGACATAAAGTCTCATTTAATATACATGGGGATATTTTAAAATCATTCAAATATGGCAGGGTTTCTAACAACACTCCTCTCTGTGGTTTGTGAAGTTTAGAAAATATATTTATGTTCATTTGACAGGGACGTTAAGGCTAGTTGGATTTTTCTCTTTGGACATTTGCTGTGTAAACTAAAATAATAAACTCATGGGAGCTTGATTCTTTCCAATTTCCATCAATGATCTGTTGAAACACATTTATCTGTGTATTGGTATTCACTGAGGTCGTGTCTCAGCAGCCAACATACGACAGTGCAGGTGATTGTATTCCACTAACCACTAGCTGCTGCACCTTTCCTTGCCTAAAAGAGAGCACTTAACCCCAATTAAAAGGCTTTGTTGGGATGCAAAGCTTTTCTTGGAACACAATGACAGGAAAGCTTGGAGGCAGTTTGTACAATATGGACAGATCGAAGCATGCGATAATACTGAAGAAACACACTTGAATCGCATTCAGAAGGGTGGTGAGTGGTCCCCAGTGCTCAGGAAGCTATTCAATGGCGCTTGACTTTGATTTCCTTTTCCCTGCATATAAATCTCATTTAGGGTGTTTTTTAACTCTTTCACAAAAATAGTTTTCATTGTTTTTTTTTCAGTAAAAAAATGCAAAATTAATATTATTTAACTCGGAGCTCAATTACACAACTCTTTAGTGATATTCTAGGGGGGAAAATCAGAAAGATAATTAATAATACTAATTTAATTACTTTGTAACTTTGATCTGTACGTGGATGCACTCTAAATATAACATTTACTCCACCGTACCAACAGGATATAAACTGTAGAAGCGCAAATAACTGAGACAAACATTAACGACTTACATGATAAGTAGCACTTCGTTTCAAACGACGTTCCCCCATTTCCACGACTCAAGCCTGCAACGTTTTCATGAATCATTTTGACGCCTCATGACTGAAAACTAAACTTCCCACCACAATACGTAGCGGAGTCATCCTGTTCTCAGTAATGGTCCAAACTCTTGACAGGGGAAGTGCGGTACGTTCACTGACCGATTTGAGAGCTCCATCGCAGGAGAACTTTAACAAAAGAATGATAATAATAATTTAAAACGAGACTTAAACTGAATAAATCTAGAGAGGAAGAGAGAGAGAGAGAGAAAGAGAGAGAGAGAGAGAGAGAGAGAGAGATCATCAAAATCTAATAATATTGCCCAATTTAGACATTTAACAATACGTTTTTGTTGCTTGAAGTTTGAAAAAAATATATGTCATTGGGGTAAGCACTTTAGCATATGTAGCCAGGTTTTATGGAGTATTGGTCAT